GAAGCTCGAGAAGGTTGCCCTTCTGATCGTTTTGTATCGCGTTATCGCGTCAGCAGCATCAGCAAGCCAGTGATGAGCTAGTTGCCGCGATGTTGAGACCTAAGGGCCTCAAGCAAGCACCCACACCAATGCAACAATACCTTGATGTCCTCCAAGCCGGGTCAAACCCTCAAACGCACAGACCTCTCCAACCTTAAACCCCAAAGGTCCTGCTGGTTTCATGGGTTCCCCTACTACCCCCCTCTTCCCCCCTTACATGACCTTAATTGGGGTGAATCATCCCTAAATATCCCATGCTGGTTTCGTTGCCATGGCACCGTGCCGTCGGCAAGGCCCCGAAGCGAGGCAACGTGAAAACCGGCAGGCGCTGAGAGCTGCCTTGCACTGAACGTCTAAATGGGAGAGTACCAAAGTAAGGGACCCCTGATATGTAGACCCCCAAATAGTAGGGATTCCATTATGTTAAGGATTCCAAGAATGTACCCCTGATTTCGGAGACCCCAAATGTGTCCCCAAAGGTTTTCACTCCTCAAGGATAGTCCGCATCTGGGGTTGTTGGAGTCCGGCATGCGACTTGCCGGGTGATTTTCGGCGTTTAAGTGGAGGCTTTGATTTGAAAAGGTTTGTGTGTCTCAAGGTGTCGGGTGGGGGGGGGGGAAGGTGGCTGCTCGGGCATGAACAGAAACATGAAGATATGGCTTTACATGTTATAGCTGCTGCCCTCGAACTCTATCTTTCTGCGGCCCTGTGAAGTGCCACAGGTCTGTGTCCGAGAGTCACCCGCGTAGACTTCACAACCACGCCCTTGGCACCCTGTCTCAACATGCACTCACCGGGGCCATAAAGTCCCAGAATTCTGGAGGATGAATAGCCCTTGAGGCTTCTGAAGCCAGAGAACGCCGACGCCCCTCGCTGAACAGACCGACGAGCCACCTCCACGCAGCTTTGTTTCTCCATTGGCGGACGTGTGCAAGCGAAGGGTCTCGGGTTCAAGGTTGTAAGCTTAGGATGGTATTTGAGGTCGAAGGTTCAGGGCTTGCAAGGTTCACCTCTACGACCTGCCGGCCACCGGGGACAGGGCATGGTCATGCTTGGCTCCCTTCAAGCAGTCGCAGTCCATATCACGAGCCCACATCACGGGCCCGTCATGAAAGTGAGCGCTGTCCACCCTGAACCTCCGAGAGGCTTCGCCGATCTACCCTGGCCTCATAAGCTGTTTTCGCAACATCGGGGATTGGAGCTTAAAGAGTTCAGGGGGGCTTCGGGCCCGGTTTCGTGCCACAAGACCTTATGGAGTGTCTCACTGCTTCCGCCTGCGCCGCCCGGGCCGCCCCAGCGCGCTCCGCAGCGCCCAAGGCATCGTGGCGGCCCAGGAGTCCCCCCTTGGGCAGCAGATGAAGGGCCAGGGCCTCAAGCGAAACTAAGCACTGGACTCGTTGAAGCATTGAAGGAACTTTGAGGCAGCCGTTCCATCTGGCAGTCGACAAAAGTTAATCGAAGAATGTAAGTGAGTGAGCCGGTGAGTAGCTGGAGTAGGTCGTTGGCACGAGATTGGGAGCACGTAAAGCTTGCCTGACATGCTTAAAGGAAACGAAGTTTTTCAGACAGAACATGTGCCTTACTCAAGACGGCTGTCGGGAACTGGCCAAAGGTTGCTGTTGGGCTGCCATAATTTTGGGGGCCATGTCGAAGGTGTAGCGAAAAGCTTGCTGTTCCCTAAATCTTCTCTGCTTGCTCCACAGGACACGAAGGCTTGCAGTCGAGTTGCCCACTGCTGGCCATGGAGGCAGGTGTTCATGCAGACCTTTCTGACTGCTTTGGACGAGCATTCTCCCGTTAATCGTGTGAGATGTTGCAGCCTGGCATGCGTTGCGTTAGAAGCAGAAAACGCGAAAGTGTTGACGCCAACCCTTCAGTACCAGGCAAGTGCGTTTGTATTATCATGACGACCCCCTCCCTCACACACCGCAGCAAACAACAACGCCACCCCACCCCCGGCCCCCGCACCTACTGCGCAAAAGCAAAGTGCTCCAGCAACCAAACCGAGCTTCTTCCACATAAACCCTAAACCCTAAACCCTGAAACCAAGCTGCATTGTATGTCACCTCGCTGGGCTCCAGCAGCCACGCCTAGCTGAGCATCGAGAAACGAAACAGAGTTCCAGGATGCTGATGGTTGCTGCGAACCTCTACGAACGCCCAGCACGAATGAAGGCACCGAGAACCCTGCCTCCCAATCATTTACGCTATATTCCTTAATTACGGGGTATTGGGCTCTCTGGGTAGAATTACACGAAAACCATGAAAAGTGTCTGCATCCATGTGCCTTTCGGGGCCCAGAAAGCAGAGGTCAATCTCGAGCTCAACTCTGGACACGCCTTCCGAACCACAAGCCATCCTGTCCGAACCGTCACGAACCCAGACATCCAGTATAACCGCTGAGCTCCTAAACAAGAATATTTCCAGCAAATTCTGACAGTTAGAGAGGGGCTTGCAGGTAAGAATGAGGCTTTGAAGCTTGGAACCTCACGACCCTTTGTTGCGATGCCCTCCGTAAAGTGGGGGCCTCCATCTCGTCGAAGAGTTCGACGACCGCCTTTTGCGGGCGTTGGCCTACACTTGACGAGTTCGGCCCTGATAGCCGGAGTTCATGCTTGTTTATCTTGTTGACGGTTGCATATGCAAGCTCGCTGCAGCTCGACTATTCACAGTGCAACAAGAAAATGCGAAAGAGCGATACTAACTTTTTGTTCTGCATGTTGTACACAACAGCAAGCACAAGGGTGCTTGGAGGTTGCTGTCGGGGGCTTAAAACCTCAACAACTAGGGTCAGGGTGCACGTAAACCCCAGTGGCGCGTGAGGGAAGAGGCAACAACGTGCCTTGCTACAGCACCGCATGTCACCACTAACACCACGATCATCACTGAATAGGCATACCCAAAGAGCCCAATACCCCTTAATTACGGAACACTCCTTAAATCAGAATAAGGATCCTTTTATAATTTAAGCTATATTCCTTAATTAAGGGGTATTGGGCTCTCTGGGTTCCTCAGTCGCCCAATACTCCGCCTCCCAGCAGGCTGACTTGCCCAGCGCCGCCGCCGTGCTGGGCAAGGATTGAGGCGGGGCTTTGTGGAACTGCCGGGAGATTAGATCGGAACCAAGAGAGCCCAATACCGCTTAATTAAGGAACATAGGTTAAATTACAAAGAGATCCTTCTTCTGATTTAAGGAATATTCCTTTATTAAGGGGTATTGGGCTCTTTTGGGAACAGGGATGGTGGACAGAGAAGATACAGCGCGGTTGCGCAGAGTGCAGCGAAAAAGGATAGAAAGGGCACAGCAAGAGCACAGAACAGAGACGGCACTGAAGTCACTGAAGTGGACTTTGGCTAGGGCTTGAGTCTCAGAAAGAATCATTGAGCTGATGGGGGCTCACAGCATTGTTGGATCTAAGGTGTGCAAGGCTCTTGGCCTCCGAGACTATCCTCCTTAAGCTGAGAAACTGCGGAACCATACGGAACAGTACAAGTGTAGGAAGGCAACCCCCGCCGCCTCAATGCTGCCCTGGGAATCGAACTTTCGACTCTGGACGCCTTCCGCCTCTCCGACATATGCCTCACGCTACCCACAAACCTGCCGACTAAATGTTAAGGGGGTTTACGAAGATAAGGGACCCCTAATACAACACCTAAATAGTAGGATTCCCTTATGATAAGGACCCCAATAAGGTACCCCTAATTTCGGAAACCCCCCCCCCAAAAGCCAAGCATCGTGTTGACAGCGATGAGGCTGGGCTGATGCGAGGCCTCGAAACACGAACACAGCTGTGACAAATGAACGCCCTGAAATTTCTGAAACCTAATCCGATTCAGCCCAAACCCTAAACCCTAAACCCTAAACCCGAAACCCGAAACCCTAAACCCTAAACCCCCCAAGTGGCCTGGCTCTGCCGCAACACATGGAGGGCCCTGGGCCACTGCAAGGCCAGCTCATGGGCCTGGAAAGAACACTTTTTGCAGCAGATGGTCACCCCCGAACATGCCCAAAAAGAGGGGCTTTGTGGTGCTGATGGGACTTTCGGTCTCAAACCTTCTACCTCGGTGCTCGGATCAGTTCCCGGCTTTGCCTGCTTAGAGTTTCAGAGCTTTCAAGACGACTCCGGCGTGACTGCGTCTCCCGGATCCAGCTTGGGCCAGGTTCTGAGGGTTTCTGGGGCGCGAAACTTCTGGCACTAGTGTGCAAGAGTGCAGTTTTCGTAACCATGTTGGTAGCAACTCGGATGGATCTCGGAGGTTCGGATGCTTTGGGCTTGCGAAGCGTAATGTCAGATGGGTGTTCAGGTATTCGGGCGAACTGTCTTTTCGGCAGAGCTGCGTGAAGAAGCGTGTTGATGCTCACTTTGTCTGGCGTCATCCCGACTCCTGATCAGCATCACAAAAACTCTAAACAGGTCCCAACCTTCAACACAAGCTCCAGCAAATGCAAATCGGGTTGAGTGCGGTGGGCTAGAGTGGGTTGACCTGCCAGAGGCATTTGAGTAAGCACATACTCTACAGCACATGAGGCAGAATGCCGAGTAGACTCAGTAAACTCAGTAGACCCTGAAACCCCATCCAATGGATCATCCAAGCCCTGAACCCCGTCCCCTTTCGTGCCCCCCGCGCACGGGCCCGCCCCCCCCCCCCCCCGTGAGAAATGTTCTAGGAAAAGCTGCTGATCGTGGGCCCCCACGCCGAGGAAGTGTTGCGACTCGTGTTTTGAATACACGCGCATATCGGGTTGTACAAAGTCGAACAAAAATGGTTTACAGCCGGGCCTCTCAGCGAGCACAGCGCAACTCCTCTATCACCCTCGGGAATGACAGTCACTACTAAAGTTGAAGCCTGACGTCCTAAGTCGAAGTCCCAAACTTCTGGCTTTCTGCGGAAACCCTGAAGCATCCGGAATGTACAGGGTCAAGAATGAAACTGGTCGACAGCTTCGGCAGACCGAGCCTTTCATAGCCGCGACAAGGGCCGACGCCACCTGCAAAATGTTTTCCCTTCGGCTACAAACCGCGTGTTGAGGGCTTGAAACAATATTCTTGGTTCTAACGAGCTTGACGAGTTCTGCTGTTGTGAATGTCTCGTAAAAACTCCCTACGAAAAGATGCACGTGAGAAAGCTGGGGTGTGCAGATTCAGGTGAAACCACAAAACACTCAGTGCAACTGAGCCTAGGCTGTGGCTTCAATTTGGCCTTCATGGCAAGAGAGGCTGTGAGCTTACAAGTTTTGTACCCTGAATTTCGGGCCTAGACGAGAGCTTCAAAGACTTGAATCCCTGACTCTCCGCTCACCTGGCTCTGATTTGCGCTTGGCTGATGTCAGGGGGGGGTCACGGACTGTGGCGGTGTCCTGCGCTGTCATGATGAGAGCCTTCAGCTGTGTGAACAGGCCTCCCAGCGGAGCTGTGTGAACAGGCCTCCCAGCGGGCGGCAGCAGCGCAGGCGCTGGCTGCAGCATTGAAGGACTCGACAGTTGGCCTGGGCTCTCCGTTCGTGGTGGTCGTGGCGGTCGTGGTCGTCGTGGTCGTCGTGGTCGTCGCGGTCGTCGTGGTCGTCGTGGTCGTCGTGGTCGTCGTGGTCGTCGTGGTCGTCGTCTTCGTCGTCGTCGTCGTCGTCGTCGACGCAGTCGTAGTCGTAGTGGTTTGCTGCTCAGACGCTACCCACCCTAAACCCTCAAGCCTGAACCCGAAGCCCTAAACGCCGAACCCACCATGAACCACAGGGAAACCGCCTTAACCCTGAATTTTAAACCCTAAACTGCCCTGAACCAGGAGGGCAGAATGACAACCCTAATCCTGAACCCTAAACAACAGGATGACCCATACGAATACTGGCCCCTGTCGCTGCACGCTGGCCTCCCAAAATCGAAAACCCCAAAATCCATACCCTGCCTCCACAGCCCTGGAACATATGAAGCCACTGCGAACCCTTCCCATGTCATCGGGAGCCTTGGTCCAGAACGGAGCATCCCCTGGCAGAAGACATACGGCGTTGCCACTTAGCAGCGGGTTCTCCGGGGCTATGGTGGACTCTAGCCAGGCTAAAGGTTTCTTTAGGGCTCAGGGCTGGGAGCTGACGAGGACATCAACATCAGAGCCACCCTGAACCTTCCTTCCTACAAACAGACCAAAGAAGGCACCCGATCTCTCAAACATCCTCCAAAACATCCTCCGAAACATCCTCCGAAACATCCTCAAAAAAAAACTGCACTGAGGAGATTCGAGGGGGCCTGGAGCAGAGACAGCGCGAGCTTCCACGCCTCGCATCTGCGCAGCGTCTGCCGCTTCGAGGGCTCTGCACCAACAGTGTTAGCGACCCCCTGTAGAACGGTTAGGACGGAGTTCGGATGAGTCTGAGGCCGGGCTTGAAGGCTCTACATCAACCTGCCTGGCCAGCGGCACAGAGACCGATCGCCGCGTTCAGCAGAGGTGTGTCTGGCCTGGCAGCAACACGCAGGGCTCCGAATCCCGTTGGCGCGCAAGGCATCAAAGTCCAGCAGAGTCCAGGGCTCTGAAAATTTTGGGACCCAGAGAGCCCAATACTCCTTAATTAAGGCATATACCTTAAATCATAAAGGGATCCTGAATATGACTTAAGGAATATTCCTGAATTAAGGGGTATTGGGCTCTTTGGGGAACCTCTTCTCAAGCCTCAACTCCTGCCATAGGGCCTTATGAGGCCGGTCGAGTCTCGAACTAAGGGCTCTTCCTTTGACTTGGCGGCACTTCAGACAGCTGCAAGTCACCCTCAACCCTAAACCCTAAACCCTAAACCCTAATGAAAATTTCCCTCACCACCCCCGACCATCCCCAACCTCAGGCCCGGCCGCAGCTCGGCGAAGAGCTCCAGGCCTCATCTTCGGAGGTTGGGGGATAGGATAGGACCTTGAGGAGAAAGACCCTCTGAACAAGGTCCCTGTTTAAGAGAGCCAGAAGAGGGTTACAAGGGTTCCCTTTTTCGGGCCTCCCCTTATCCTACCTAGGAGAGGTTCCCCCTTATAGGGATTCTAGTATACACACAGCCCTTAATAGGGAATAAAGGAACCCCTATTATACTCCCGATGAAGGACAGAAAGAAGAAGGGGAAACATCCGAAGTGACATCTTCAGACGGGCTGTGAGCTTGAGTATGCTTGAGTCGTTCAAGGAACTTGTCTTTGGCTATGCTCGGGCCTGCAGAGACCTATGGCCGAGCCTGCACGGAGTAAGGATCTACAAGAGTCTGAAGTCCCCCAGTTGCAGGGTGAAAGAAAGGAGTGGGGCCTGTTCCGGCTACGGCAACTTGGGCATGCCATGATATGAGGCTGGCCCTGTACGAAAACAAAGGTTCAGTGTGTTTTTGAGCATGCAAGTGCACAAATCGAGATGACATGCCCCCTTGCACAAGGATGGCACACCCTTCGGAGCTCGAGACGTCTTACCTCATAGCATTAGACACAACATCAGCAGCCCAGCACCGTCACGCTTCAGCAACCTCACCGACTCCACTCGTTTTGGATCCCCTAAACCCTAAACCCTAAACCCTGAACCCTAGACCCTGAACCCTAAACCCTAAACAGCCCGTCATCCGCGCGTTCGGGGTTCTCAGGCCTCGCAGCCAGGCGGAGCCGAACGCCCCGAGCGCAGCTGTGACCAAAGGCCTAGCTGGTTGGCTCAGGCATCCAAACAGCTTTTGGGGTTTAGGGTTTCGGGTTTAGGGTTTAGGGTTTAGGGTTTAGGGTTTAGGGTTTAGGGTTTAGGGTTTAGGGTTTAGGGTTTAGGGTTTAGGGTTTAGGGTTTAGGGTTTAGGGTTTAGGGTTAGGGTTTAGGGTTTAGGGTTTAGGGTTTAGGGTTTAGGGTCTTGGGTCTTGGGTCTTGGGTTTTGGGTTTTGGGTTTTGGGTTTAGGTTTGCAGGCGTTTCCTTGGAGCTTTGCGGGTTTTGAGAAAGGACTGCCGGCCATGGGAACTAACAGGCTGCCATCCTTCCCCACGCAGCCCTGAGCAGCATGGTTGCCGCAAGAACCTCCAGGACCTCTCAAGACCTGGATTCTTGAATCCCCTCCCTCTAATATTAAACCTCCCCTACCCCCTAATATTCAAAACCCCAATATGATGTAACTATAATGGGGGCTCTTTAATGTTGGGGAGTAGGGGAGGGGGGGTTTATACTAGGGGGAGGGGATTATCTTGCTCACTAGCAGTTAGTTGCTGCGAGCAGCCGCCATTCATGATCACTGATGGCGCTAGTTCTGTTACATCTGCCAGGCATTCATGTAAACTTGGTGACCCCGGCGCCCGAAACCGTCCATCCTCACAAAAGCAGTCGGCCCCTTCTGCAAAAACAAAGCAGCGATGAGCCGTGGAAACCGATTTGGAAACAAAAAGCAAGCCAAGCTGCGTCCCGGGGCGGACATTGCTTCGCCGCAGGTCCGAGAGGAAGGCAGCAGCAGCCTGCCAGCGGCCCTCCAAAGCGGACATCCTGAACCAGCTCTCAACAAGGGCACCAAAGAGAGGGAAAAAAATTCTCGTTTGCGGGTGTGAGCTTCTTGCATGCAAAGGCCTTGGAAGAGACTTTTAGGGTTTAGGGTTTAGGGTTTAGGGTTTAGGGTTTAGGGTTTAGGGTTTAGGGTTTAGGGTTGAGGGTTGAGGGTTTAGGGTTTAGGGTTCTGAGATGCTGAGAGCTCCCTTCCTTTGAAGCCCGCAGCATCTTCCCCGGAGAAGCCGCCAAGGCCAAGGGGCGCGGCTCCCGCCAGCGCCGCGTCTGGTCGGAGCCCCTTGCCGCAAGCTTCCTCAAAGAAAAGCCAGCAAGGGAACAAAAAGGAAAAGGACCAAGAGTGACTAACAAAGAAGGGGGTCTCTCAAGCTATCTCTCTCACATGTGGTCTTCCCTTTCCATCCTTTCCCTTTTCTCGAGTCGTTCATTCTCAACAGGTCTCTCCTGAAAACTTCAACCGAGCTGCAGTGTAAAGCTCAAGGGCCCACTGCCACCTGCGCTTGGCTTGGGGTCTCAACGCGGCTATACCATCAAAGCCGATTATTTTCTTAAGACAGAAGGAAGTGATAGAGCAATTTTCAAACCAAAGAAGCAGACCACGAACAAAGGCAGTAGGTAAGGGGAAATGTGCAGGACAGCCACTTCCCCGAATATGGTATATAGAGCAAAATAGAGCGGGGCCCTAGCCCATCCCCAACCGAGATTCCAGCCGCCTTACTGCTGGTGGGGTAAGAAGGTACCATATATCCCCTAGAAACCCTTAAGGGATTATCTATGGTACCTTATTCCCCCATTCCCTACGAACCAACAGTAAGAGACCCCTCAGGGCCCGACATCCTGGCTCTGCAAGTGGCTCCTGCCTGGAGGTGCCAGCCACAGCGGCGACTGCCGCGGTGTAGACGAAGAGATTCGGGGCACCACGGCCTCCGTCCAGCCCGAAAGCTCCAAGGGTGCTCACAAAACGGAAGGAATTGGGAAATTTCCCCCTTTTCCTAGCAGTCCTCTAGGGATTCGTCCAACATCCGTCAATGCGAGGGCCTTGAGCAAACCCAGACGGATCCCGCGCAGACCGAAATCAGCAACCGGTGAAGGCCGAGCCTTCGCAAGAACTTTGCAAACCCAGGGTTTAGGGTTTAGAGGCTAGGGTTTAGGGTTTCGGGTTTAGGGTTTAGGGTTTGGGCTTAGGGTTTAGGGTTTAGGGTTTAGGGTGTAGAGTTTAGGGTAACTTAAAATTCCAGTGGGGCCCACCTTTCACATGACTGAATTGGCTGAAGATGAACAGCGCCTCTTGCCACCTCTCGAGGTCTCGAGACTTTGGAAACGCGCCAGGTTGAGGGTGCCAAGATCTTTGCTCAGGGCTTTGGGGTTTAGGGTTCAGGGTTTAGGGTTTAGGGTTTAGGGTTTAGGGTTTAGGGTTTAGGGTTTAGGGCTTAGGGCTTAGGGTTTAGGGTTTAGGGTTTAGTTTTGGGTTTAGGGTTTAGGGTTTAGGGTTTAGGGCTTAGGGTTTAGGGTTTAGGGTTTAGGGCTTAGGGCTTAGGGCTTAGGGCTTAGGGCTTAGGGTTTAAGGTGCTGAACAATTCCGCTTGTTTGCAGCAACTCAGTTCAAAATTTCCCACTCACCAAACCTTCCATTCGACAACTAACCAAAAGGCTCTCCCTCACGTCCAGAGAGTCGGACACCCAGATCAGGTTCCGAAAAATACTCAGCACTTCGAGTCATCTTCTCCCCCCTCGTGAATAAGACATGGGAAGTCGTTGCATGTTTGACGTAAAGTGATGCTAGCCCATCAGAGTCAAAGCGTGTTGAAAGAAACTCGCTCTCAGCCGAAGTTTGGGGCAGAGCGGCGGCAACCCTATCTGACATTCCGTTGAAGGCTTTGCTTTGGGATTGTGGGAGATTGTGGACGCTTTGCCGGATCTAATGCTGATTGCTGCGGGCCCACACTTTACCATGCTCTACCATGATGTGTGGTCTCTTGGGTGCATTGTGGAATTTGGGGCTTTCCGAAATTAGGGGTATATACCCGTCAACCCTAAACCCTAAACCCTGAACCCGAAACCCGAAAAAACCCTCAACCAGGGTTGCTAAGCTGTGCACCCCTAAGGTTTGCGGTCACGGCCTCCGCGACTTGCCGAATGCACTCACCTTGGATGCCCAATGAAGGTTTGGGGTTTAGGGTCTAGGGTTTAGGTTTTAGGGTTTAGGGTTTAGGGTTTGGGGTTTGGGGTTTGGGGTTTGGGGTTTGGGGTTTAGGGAAGCTTTAAGGGCGAGGCTCGCGCTTAGCAGGGCAGAACATGGCAGAATTGGAGGGGCTCTTCCGAATGCTGCACTGAAAAAATTAGTTGCTGAAGAGCCCTGACGCGAGCCCAGGTAAGACTACGGCATACAAACGCGCCGTTGTCAAGCTCAACTGTAGTCAACTGACAACTGCAGCTCAAGTGGGGTCTACGAAAATAAGAAACCCCGTAAAATGACCTCCCAAATAGTAAAATCCCTTTACAAATAAGGACCCCAATAAGGTAGCCCCTACTATCCTAAACCCTAAACCCTAAACCCTAAACCCCAAACCCTAAACCCTAAACCCTAACCCTAAACCCTAAACCCTAAATCCCCTGCCAGCCTAAACCCCCCAAGCGGGTCCGTGCGGGCGGCGGCGCTGGTGGCGACGGGGCCGTCCGGAGCCAAGGCAGCTGCAGCGAGCTGCCTCGAAGAGGCAAGGCATTGAGTTTGGGGGTCGCAGGTTCTGGCTACCCTAAACCCTAAACCCTAAACCCTAAACCCTAAACCCTAAAGCCTAAACCCTTCCGGGTTTCCAGGAAGCTTCCTGAAGCCTTGTGTGTGCCGACCTCGCCTTCAAAACTGCAGACACAGTTTGGGACCCGAAGCCTTCGAGCCATGAGTTCGAAGGCGGGCTGTGGTATCTGTGGAGTTATAGGGTTTAGGGTTTAGGGTTTAGGGTTTGGGGTTTAGGGTTTAGGGTTTAGGGCTTAGGGTTTAGGGTTTAGGGTTTAGGGTTTAGGGTTTAGGGTTGATTATCGCAGGCAGTTGGCAAGACTCGCAGCTCCGGAAGGCCTCAGAAGTTCCACCGTCAGCGTCCAGTGGCTTGCACGTTCCGAGGCACCTCTGAGGAGGGTTTAGGGTTTAGGGTTTAGGGTTTAAGGTTTAGGATTTAGGGTTTAGGGTTTAGGGTTTAGGGTTTAGGGTTTAGGGATAGCCCTCTACCTAGAGAGCCCAATACACCCTTAATTCAGGAATATAGCGTAAAATGTAAAGGGATCCTTATTATGATTTAAGCCATATTCCTTAATTAAGGAATATAGCTTTAACATATAAAGGGATGCATATTCTGATTTAAGGAATATTCCTTTGTTAAGGGGTATTGGGCTCTTTGAGTGCAAGCTTCTGGGTTTCAAATGGCCTTCAGGCGACCGTAGTTCTCACATACTCACACAGTGGATAAAGAATGCCTGAACCTTGCCTCGTTCCATCTAGACTCGCCGTGAAATCCTGAATCCTAGTCAATAGATGTCAATATCCTGTGATCAATGACATGAAGCCCTCGACGCCCAACACGACGCTTAGGCCCTGGCTTATGCAAGCCCCGAACGTCTTGATGTTGGGCTGGACCTGCACTGAGCACGTACACCCACTTCCTTTCACCCTCAACCATCACGCAATCATGTACAGGAATACTCTAGTTCGGGGATGGCATAGATGAGTTCCGCTAGGGTTTTCAGGGAGTCTTCGTCTGAGTCTGGGTGTGCCCTGCCCTGCAAGGCTAGGCTACTCGAGAAAGCGACTTGCCAGGTTGCCCCCAGAAAACCGCATGCTTCGTCGACGCCCTACCAAAGCAAGGGTTTGCTACCATGGCATCCTTCGCACCCCGAGATTCTGGGCCTGCTTCTTGTGCATCACCGAAAGGAGCTCGATCGAGCGGCTGGCCACAAGATAAGGGGAGCAAAGGCATCCATTGGTTTGCAAACCGCCATGCTCAAGGCATACCCGAGAGCCCAAATACCCCTTAATTCAGGAATATCGCCTAAATTGTAAAGGGATCCTTTCCTTAATTCAGGAATATCGCCAAAAACTATAAAGGGATCCTTTCTATGATTTAAGGGATATTCCTTAATTAAGGGGTATTGGGCTCTTTGGGTGGTTGGAGGTAACAAGGGAATGAGGTCTGGGGTTCATCCTGCGAAGCTTGAAGGTGGTGTGAAGATGTCTCAACCCTCCTCTCAATCTTTGGCATGGCAATGGTCGCCTCCATGCGGTGCCCCGTGCGCAGGCAGCCACGGTGGTGTTGAAGGAAACAACCGAAGGCTCCACCTTTGGGGGCGGGTTTAGGGTTTAGGGTTTAGGGTTTCGGGCTTCAGGGGCTTCCAGGGCTGAAAATTTCGGAGTGTGCCTTCCCCCGAAACAGCGTAGCCAGCTTGAATCCCCAACTTAGGGCTCAAACGTCCGGGAGGGGTAAGCCCAAGGGATAGGGAGCCACCCCCAAGAAAGCAGGCAAGGCACGCAAGGAAAGACCGAAGCCAAAGGAAGGCTCATGCGCCGAGTGTGCAGCGTTCGTTTCAAGTCATCAATGCTGCCGTATACATGCCTTCACATGTGCGACCGGGCCACCTGTACGTAACTTCCCAAAGCAGGAGTGCTCGTCCTAGTGGTTACTGGCAGTGCGCGAGCGAAACTTGCGTCCTTCCTCCAAGCACCCCGGCAAGTGCACAGGCCAACGCAACCAAAAGGCCACTCGGCACTCGGGCTGTCCAGAGGATTGGGCTTCAAAGCCAAGATGAACGTTGAGAAACAAGGCTTGCAGCCAGAGCGGTTGCAACCGGAAAAAGGCAGGGAAAACGGAATAGCCATCGTCGGCCCAGGCGGGGAAACTCCACCAGCTTGGACGGTTGGGAGCGGGGCGAGCGCTGCAACGAAGATCACATGAGCTCTTCCCAGAGAGCCCAATACCCCTTAATCAAGGAATATAGGCTTAAATTATAAATGGCTCCTTATTTTGATTTAAGGAATATTCCTTAATTAAGGGGTATTGGGCTCTTTGGGCTTCTAACTGTTGGCCAGAGTTTGGCGGGGGTTCGGGTCATAAGATTCACCGTGGGTCTTTGCATCGTATGCCTATCGATCTCGCATCGTGCTGTAGCTTTGTAATACGTGCTTGTCGACCTTGCGGGCATGGGGTTTGGGGGGTTTGGGGTTCAGGGTTTAGGGTTTAGGGTTTAGGGTTTAGGGTTTAGGGTTTAGGGTTTAGGGTTTTAGGGTTTAGATGACAGCGCGCCGCCGAGAAAGCTCAGCATGATCTCGATAGAGATTGCATGGTGAGCACAGTTGCCGTATGGAACATCCAATGCCACGCAGCACCTTTAAGAAAACAGGCCCAATAGCCAACCCCTTAACCCTGACAAGTGAGGGCTTAAAGGGTCTACGGCCTGAGGCTTCGGCATGCTTAACGGCCGGCTTGAATTTCTTCGGCAGTTTTGGTAGAGGGTGCCTGGAGCTTGGGGCGCCGAGAAATGACGTTCATGTGTAAAAGGCCTTACATGGCTTTACCAGGCACACCACCCAAAACCCTAATTCCTAAACCCTAAACCCCATGTACCGTACCGGACCGCACCTTCTCCATCGGCATCTGGCGAAGCAAGTCGATCGCCTTTCAGGGAGCAAGGACGGAATGTTTCTTTAGGCTTCTCATCCTCGCCAGCCTTGCAAATACACCCCAACACTCTCAACCGACCCCTTTCAGACTCCCGAAGTCAGCAGTCTGCAACTAACTACCCAAGGATGCCCACCCGGTGCACTTGGGGACTTGGGCGCTGTAGTCACTGCTTCCATCTTTGCGCGTCAATCCGCGGCTGTGGCTACCTGAAAACATGAAAAGCAAACCGAACTCATCTGAGCCCCCCCTAAACCCAAACCCTAAACCCTAAACCCTAAACCCCCCCCAAACCTGGCACCACTGCGCTTTTCGCAGCAGCGTCGCCAGGGCTCCGTTCGCCACCCGGAGTGCAGCCATGGTGGCGCGGTGGCCACGAGGTGGTCATGGTGATAGGGTTTTGGGTTTAGGGTTTAGGGTTTAGGGTTTAGGGTTTAGGGTTTAGGGTTTAGGGTTTAGAGTTTGGGGTTTGGGGTTTGGGGTTTAGGATTTAGGGTTTAGGGTTTAGGGTTTAGGGTTTGGGGTTTGGGGTTTGGGGTTTAGGGTTTAGGGTTTAGGGTTACTACGAAAGGCTGAACTTCTCAGGCTTCCTTTCACGGGTGCTTTGAGGGCTTCAGGAATTCTGAGGCAGGATGATCGATCTTCGCGGGCAAAGCGAGGGGTCGTGCACACTTCGTCGGTCTTGGGCACTGAGCCATGTGCTGCAGCTTCGGTTTAGTCTTTTGGGATCACAAACGATCTTCTTTCAGCTTCTCTCACTTTGCTTGATCGCTCAGCTCATCTTCCTCTTCCACTTCTTCCTTATTCTTTCTTCCTTGGGCCTTCTCCCTTCTGACATGCTCCTATTCCTTGCTCTCTGTTCTTCCGTTTCTGCTTCTCTCTCGGACTGACTCCCGCAGTCGAAGACTGGCATCTATACCCATCAACCGAACTCCAGCTGAGAGCTACAGCTCACAACACAGCTGGAACTCAAACTGTCAAACCCCAAAGTGGGCTTGAAGGTTCGGGGATTGAGGGTTCCTCTTGGCGCCGTAATTAGTCAACATCGTCTGGACTTTATAGGGTTGAGGAACCTGCAGATTGACAGGGTTACAGCATCCGCAGCATAGGAGACAAGGAGCCCTCGCTTTGCGCGAGTTTGCTTCAAACAACATCCGAGGACTCTTGCGAAACCTCAGGCTTGTGTACTACCCTTTGGAACCTTATTGGAGCCCACTGGAACCCTAGTCCTTCTCATCGCGCTCGTCATAGACTTGTGTGCTCCTCGGTCCAAACGGAGCAAACCCCCAAAAAAGGCGGCTTGTCTGAATCTTTGCTTCCGTGAGATCTAGGGCCCGAAGGTTCCGCAGGAATTTGACGACCTGTGCTCTTGCCAAGCTCGGGCCAAGCAGCGGAGTTTGGCTAACGATCTGCATCAGCTGCTCAACATACTGCCTGCCAGCGGCACTGCGGAGTTGTGCAGATGCAGGCCACAAATCGGCACGATCTTGCCAACAAGACCGCATCGCGAACTTGGTGGAGACCTAGTGGCTTACTTAACCTTCCTGAAGAAGACCAGCATGACTTTTCTCTCGACTGCCATGGCAGTCCCATCTACACGGCCTCTGCGCAAAACTGCTCGATTTCGGCAGAGATGCAGATGGAGAAGGTGGCTGATGCGACCTAGGTCGCCATGGAGACACAGCAGGAACAAAAAAACGAATGTCTGCAGTCATCAACATCCTGACCTTGGTCAAAAGCCAAGCTCGAAAGTCCCAAGCCAAGATCCCTGCATTCATGGACAGCACATGTCGTGCCCAAACTCACTCCAAACGCTGAAACCCAGCTCCTACAGTGAGCCTGAGCATCCTCACCCCGAACGACCACATGAGGCCGAACAAAAACGCATCCATGGGGCGACTTCATCAACGGGTTGCTGGAACCATGAGACTCGTTGAATCCATGAGACTCCTTGGCCGAGGAGCACAAGTCCACGCTGATTTTTTTGCCCAACGCAGGGCTCTTCATGGGTTCAGAGCCCTAAACCCTAAACCCTAAACCCTAAACCCTAAACCCTAAACCCTAAACCCTAAACCCTAAACCCATGTCAGGTGGTGGCTTCAAATGATCCTCAAGGGATCCTAGAGCTGAGAAGGTCGAAAGTGTCACAAAAGCGCCCAGTTCCCTCTCGGCTTCAAGGGGCCATTCGTCGCCGTGTGGGGGTCGAGGAGCGGGGAGGCTGCTGCGCCGCCTCGGACCCAAAGGGTGTCACCAACTGAGGTTTAAGGCTTTGAGGCCTCGAGTTAGGGGGCGATTCCCCAGCCTGACCTGCTTCGGCAACTGGATCCGAAGGCTTGCAGCTAAAAGTCAGGAGATCTCCGGAGCCCCCAAAGGCACACAGGCGAACCGGCGAAGAGCTCCGAAGCCAAAAGTCCTCACCCCGAAGCCCTGCTTGAAGTTTTGAAGTCCCCTCTCAAACCCACAAAGACCTGCAATGAGCAAGCCAGGTATAGTTCAAGAGATTCAGCCACAAGGATCCTACTACAGCCCAGCGGCTGTAGGCCTTAGGCCCTTAGGCTGATTCAACCATGGAAGTGCCAAACCCCCCTGAATCTCCAGAACCCTCCACGTCGGGGGTCGGATCTTCCCGGCACAGACGGAAGGCCTCAGTTGATACGCTCTGGGTTTAAGGCTTGTGTGGGCGTGAGCGCGTTGTGATGTGCATTGCGTGTGCGCCGTGGGCATGTGCACGTTATGCGCATGCGCCTATGCACGCGCGCGTGCGCGCGCGTTTTGCTTGCGTTTGGGTGTGCGCCGGATGCCTTGGTCCGGAGGCCAATTTCCGTCTTGGCATTGTACAGGGGACTGCCGGGCCGGGGAAGGCAGTCAACTCTTTGTCTCCCTTCGTCTCCCTTTGTCTCCTTTTGTCTCCCTTCGTGTGGTCTTTGCCGGGTTCCTTTCTCTCCTTTTGGTCCCCTTCGCGCGGGTGGCCTTTGCTAAAAGGTCTTGGGGCCTACAAGCAAAGTAGGCCAAAACAGCTCGACTAAGCCTGTCAACTGATCAACTTTGAAGAAAGCAGCTTTCAACATGGAGAACCTGACTTCAGCGTTGATCACACCAGCGCATTCCTGTGCCAGGAGGTATCAACTTTAGCCGCGCGCTTGAAACCATGGGTTCGATGAATATCGGAGAGCAACGAAAGCTTGGCGTCTAAGAGCGCATTCCTTAACATCCACCCTTACTAACCATTCCAAATTCTAAGCTCTTTTGCAGGCCCTGTCCCCAGAGAGCCCAATATCCCTTAATCAAGGAATATGGCTTAAATTAGAAAGGGGTCCTTATTATGATTTAAAGGGTATTCCTTAACTAAGGGGCATTGGGCTCTTTTGGGTCCCTGTTTTGAGAGACAAAGCTCAGCGTGCGGCCTGGCGGTGTGCATCGGTTTACGACTCGTTCTTCAACTCTCCCGACTCCCTCAGCCAGAGACTCCAAAGCACCTTAGGGTTTAGGGTTTAGGGTTTAGGGATTAGGGTTTAGGGTTTAGGGTTTAGGGTTTAGGGTTTAGGGTTTAGGGTTTAGGGTTTAGGGTTTAGGGTTTAGGGTGACAGCCAGGAGGCGTGAGAGGCCCAGGGCCTCTGGTACTGGAACGGGGCCTCTGCAGCGCCCCGGGATTTTCAGTCCATCAGTTTTTTGGGTTTAGGGTTTAGGGTTTGGGGTTTAGGGTTTAGGGTCTAGGGTTTAGGGTTTAGGGTCCAGGGTTGCCTTCACTACGATTTCCCCCGTGAGAACTGCAGACACTCCAAGCGCAAAAACCCAGGGGGGAACGCACAGCCGGGAGAAGCAGAGAGCTTCGCAGCCAAGACTTCGGAAGTTGAGGGTCGAGGGTTGGCAGCTGTCCCCAAAGAGCCCAATACCCCTTATTTTATGGAATATCCCTTAAATCATAGTAAGGATCCCTTTTATGAATTAAGCCTAGATTCCTTAATTAAGGGGTATGGGGCTCTCTGGGTCAGGCCGCAAACTCACGCGCCTTTCACCAGCTTTTGGGCTTGTTGGGCTTTCGAGCTTCCACGGCAAGCCGCAGATGTCGTTGCTGCGTCTTGGCTTTAGTATTTAGGGTTTAGGGTTTAGGGTTTAGGGTTTAGGGTTTAGAGTTTAGAGTTAGATCATCTGAAAGTTGAATCTCTGCCGGTAACATCCGGTAGCTACGGATGTTGCGAGGCTGGGCGAACTCTACCCTATCACCCCTCAAAAAAGGCCTTTGATAGGCTTCATGATGGGGCATTCTAAGGCCGAAAAGAGCCCATCCTGGAAAGCTTTGGTCCCTGGGAGCCTCTGCGCGTTTAGGGTTTAGGGTTTAGGTTTTAGGGTTTAGGGTTTAGGGTTTAGGGTTTAGGGGCCTCGGAAAGGTGATTCGACTCGCACCGCCGGAGTGTTGCTGGCGTCGTCATTGGGCATGGGAAGTACCTCGCCAGGCTGCTCGGGGTTGCGGATCTCGGGATTCAGGGTTCATATAGGGTTGAGGGTTTAGGGTTTAGGGTTTAGGGTTTAGGGTTGAGGGTTGAGGGTTTAGGGTTTAGGGTTTAGGGGGATTCAGGGCGTAGCGCTTTGCTTCGTTTCGGCCCGGCACTGATCTTGGGACGAAGCTTTCCATCATGCAGCATCCTCGAAGCTTACCCCCCAACAAAATTGGAAAGGATCAAATCATGCTCGCATGATGGGTTGGTTGTCAAGGAGTGTCTACTGATGGTGCGTAGAATGCTTTGAAGCAAGCTTGCACTGCTCGAGAACCTTTGGTTTACAAAGAGCCGGGGGGCTAAACCCTAAACCCTAAACCCCAAACAGCGGGGGTTGGGGGGGGGGGGTGTTGGAGGAGAGCCCCACAATTGCAACACATAATGCTCGCATGATGGGCTCCACGATGCTCCTGCGACATGTTTGCGGGGGCCTCCAAAGGTGCCCTTGAGCCAGCACAAGAAGACCTAAACCCTAAACCCTAAACCCTACACCCTAAACCTAAACCCTAAACCCTAAACCCTAAACCGAAAATGACGTGTAAGCCCGGGGGCCCAAAGCCCCCTCCCCATGGAGAAACACTCCTACTGGTGATAGCGGCGGCAATTCCCAGGCCTTCTTATTGAAGGACATCGGCCAAGGCCCCAGTACCTTGGGATGATCAGGGTATTTGAGGGTGCGTTAAGTCGGAAACACTGAGGTCTTGACCACAAGCCCAATAAGACAGCTGAAGCAAGTCTAAGTTCTCAAAGTCAGACACAGGCCCCCAATATGAAGGTTTGCGTCAAGACGGGGGACCCCCGAAATAGCCCCCGCCAAGTAGCAGGCTCCCCTTACAAGAAGACCCCAATAAGGTACCCCAATTTACGGACGACCCACCCTAAACCCTAAACCCTAAACCCGAAAACCCGTTGGCATCTTGCCAGCAGTTCCAGCTCTTGACTTTCGGCAGAGCGGCAGCACTGCCGAAGGGACGGCCACAACAGAAAAGCGGCGGGGGCTCGTCAATCGAGTCCTAACGAAGCCTAGACAACTGTTCTTCCTTCGGCCAGAGTCTGGTTGTCTCAGGGGGGGTTGAGTAAGGGTAACTCTATGGGGGGTTGAGGACTTAAGAGGGGCTGAAGTGGGGGGTTTGGGGGGTTGAGCAAATGCTCACGGCTTGAGCCTGAGGCGCGAGTTGGCGAGTTGCAAAGGGCTTGCAAGGGGCTTGGAGGAAGTGCTCGGTCAATGCCTTGAGGGACCTGGGGCTGCCAAAAAACTGCTACAGCCTAAGTCAATACCACAGCTTTCTGGGCCGGAAGACAAGGCAAAAAGCAAAAGCAAAAGCAAACTCTCTTCGGATCGCCTAGTAGCAGTTTGTCAGGGTCTGGGGCTTGAGATCGGCACGTGGACTTCAGGGTTTAGGGTTTAGGGTTTAGGGTTTAGGGTTTGGGGTTTAGGGTTTAGGGTTTGGGGTTTAGGGTTTAGGGTTTAGGGTTTAGGGCTTAGATGGGCTTAGTCTTCCACCTGGAAAAATGGCAAGGCGAAGCATCGAGGTGTGGAAAGGAGTATGAATGGAAGCAGGATTGTCAGATTCCACCCTCGCCAAGCCTTCGAACCTTACAATGGAGAACTTCTGTACACGATGCTGCCGCCCTTCAACTGCCGCTATGACCAGCGCAGCAAAAGAAGATCGGCGTTCGACATCATACACAGCGAAGACAAGAACTACCATAACAGCAAGCAAACCCCTAAACCCTGAGAAAGGAAACCATCACTCAAAGCGCACACACACACATATACACATATCTATCTATATATACAGAGACACGCACGGTGGTCCTTCAGAGTTGCGAAGATTGGCCACACAAGAACACGGTGGTCTCTGAACAGGTTTCTGTGTTCCTCAATGCCCTTTGCATCCCAGCCGCAGAGGCCTTACAAAAAAAAAAAAAAACATGCCCTAGCTTTCCAAAACTGTCCGAACTGCTGAGAAAAAGCTCCGAACCTCCAAAAGCATCCAAGCAAGCTTCGCGTATTTTAGATCCTAAACTTCCAAACTTAAACCAGGCGCGGGGCCCTTCCGCATCGCAAAAGTGTCCAACATGTTTGCCGGAAACAGCTGGGGCTCGGGGGGGACATACGTTGGTAGGGTCCGATGTGCTCGTAGAATTAGGGCTTAAGGTCGTGGTTTTCGCTGTGTGGGCTGGATGTGGAGGAGGGAGGAGATCATGTCAGTGATATCTACCCAGGGCTTGGCTCAGCTACTATGAAACCGTTGGTCTTGAAACAGAAGCTGCGGAAAGGGACCCATGCCGCATTCATCACTAACGAAGAGGAAAGTACAGAGCTGTGAAAATTGGGGTACTCTCACCAGCTATGGGGTTGGGCCAGGTCATTGGGGTCTCATGCGAGCGTTACTCGCGGTTACTGGCGACACTTCTTGAGGACTCTGCGTTGGATCCCTGCCGACACCCGCAAAAAATTCCTGGAGCCCTACAACCCTACAACCCTCACCCGAACCTTGCATCTCTTCTTGAACCCCAAGATGCAAAGCTTGAAGACGAACTCGGAAATCCTGAATACGCTCAAAAACCACTGGAGGACGGCGGCTATGGACCTCCAGCAAAGCCCCCAGAGGGCTGAAGCGGATGCTGTTGAAAAGCGCGTAGTTAGGGTGGGTCTTTGCCTCAGGGACAGTAGGGTTTAGGGTTTAGGGTTTAGGGTTTAGGGTTTAGGGTTTAGGGTTTAGGGTTTAGGGTTTAGGGTTTAGGGTTTAGGGTTTAGGGTTTAGGGTTTAGGGTTTAGGGTTTAGGGTTTAGGGCTGAACAATATGTGGGCCATAAGATTTTGGGCACAAAGCCTTCTGAAGACCTGGCTCAACCTGCCATGAACCAACCTTTTTTCTTGGGGGCATCATTGTTGAACGCTACTTGAAGTTGATCCGAACCACTATGCTCGGTTGGGGTTATGGAAAGGGCGAGTTTGACGGAAGGAAGGGTTTGATGGCAAGTCCAACTGAGGACCCTACATTCAGCATACCTTCCATGATGCCCCAGGCATGGAGGTCATTGCTGTAGGCCACCTCTGACACACACGGACGCCCGACATTGCTGAGGTTCATGAATGCCGAATGCTCTTTGCTTGTCGGGCCTTCGGCACCAAGCTCAGCACAGTTAGGATGACGAGCGTTCTCCTGCAACCCACACAGGATGAGCATGCAGAGTTGCAGGGCTCTGGGCGGGATGGGCTGCAACCATGCCTGGGTCTGCTGTTGATCCTACACAACTCCGCAAAGACAAGGCCTCAGTCTCAGCCACCATCATACTGAAGAAAAATGGTCTCTCAACTTGAATTTGAGCTATATGGCAGCTATTGCTCTCATACTTGTGATACAACCCAAGAAAGCAGCCACGGGCGAAGGGCTTGTTAGTTCTGTGGGCATGGTCGGCCGTAGTTGGGAATTGGCAAGACAATGATGTACTGTAAAAGCAACAGCCGGAGGACATGTCCAACAGAAAACATTGCTAGATGCTGCCAGCACCCTCCACAAAAGCGGTTTAGCATTCGGATCACTCAGAACAAACAACCTTACAGATTCGATATCGGCCCTATGCTGGCTCTTCAAAGTCTGCAAACTTCATGTTCCTCTGCAAATGAGCAAAGCGTGCCGTTTCTTCAACCCGCTACGTCTCCATAAAGGTCCACACAACAACCTGACATGGGGGGTTTCCGAAATGGGGGTACTCTTTTTGGGGGTCCCTCTCAGGGAATTCGATTCCATTTAGGGGAAGAAACGGGGTACCCCTTATTTTTTGGAAAATACCCACGTCGGGCTGAAGACTTGCCCTTGACTAAGATCACAGCAGCAGCCTTCCTTCCAGCTTCCAACCCACCCGCCCCCCCTGCAGGAACCTGAGTTCTTCCTTCTTCTGCCTGAGCTGGCGGAAGGGCTCGAATATAGAGTAGATTAGGGTTTGGGGGGGGGGGGGTTCTGATGGTATAGTTAGAGACCACAGGAGAATACGAATGGTCGTTATTCCCGACCCCTATACTAGATTCTTAAAGAACTCTTAAAGGCAATGGCCAACGATTGCCGGCGATGGGGGTTCGAGAAGACATGAAAACTGAACTGTTTCTTTGCTCACCGCAAAAGACTCTGAAATGAGACAGTATGATGAAGAGCCCAGTCAGGCTGGGATGTTCGCCCTTCTTCTAACAGTCCTTAATTGGGATTATACTGGAATCCCTCTTGAGGACTGTTAATATAAGGGTGAACATCCCAACAGTCAGGCCTTGTTAAAGATGGATCAGATCTTTGACCGGAGGTCGCTTTCTGAAGAAGCACGCCTGGGGGCTGCAAAGGCTGTGGCCAGCTTGGAGGAAGCTGCCCCGTGAGACAGAGACGAAACAACAAAGACGACAAAGGCGTCGAGCGGAAGCGCAGCCGCGAGGAGCAGCGACAGTGGCGATGATTGAGATGCGGTCTGAAGATAGACGTCGTGCAATGTTCTCTCAAATGATGTATGTATTTCCAATGAATGTTAGAGTTGATCTGGTCATTCCCCGCCTGGCATCACCTTCAAGTGTTTGCAATGGTCGCTATGTTTGCAATGGTCGCTATGTGCAAAGAGGTCGGTTGGAGAGTGGCTGCTCCGGACCATGACGATGCCATGATGTGAGAGTGAGTGAGTGAGTGAGTGAGTGAGCATCGACCGAGGCATGTGTCGGGCCGAAAACGCATGCCTGGCCTAACAAATTGGCGACACCTCCAGCGCGAAGGCTTAAAGTGTCAGCCACAACAACACAACGCAACGACAAACAGCAACAGCCAACAGCACGCAACCACGACGCGATGACGAACGAAAAGGCCCAGTTGAGCGTGAGGGCGTGTTTGCTCCAAACAAAGCGACCACTAGGCAGACCCGCCACCTGCACCCATCGAGCAGAGTACTGCCCGGCGGGCCGGCATAAGGGCAAGACAGCTTGCCATCCTCGCGATAACTTCGCTCAGCCAAGCTCTTCCCCCAGAGGTCACCCTTCAGGGTACTAAGCCAAGCAAACACCGTCACCTCCGCTCAGGGCAGTGCGCCAGTCGAGTGCCTATAACGGCGAACACGCTTCTCCACAGATCCCTCCGCAGATACTAAGTGCCCACCCCGACCTGTGCACACCCGGAGCTACTCACATCACGGCCTCATCCACCTCCACCATTTCCAGCACACCAGGGCCCCCTCCACCAATGGCAAATATTCTGCCATCCCCTTCCGAGCTGGTCTCAAATCAGTGTGCCCTCCGAGTAGCGGGAAGAAACCCAACACTGTCCAGGAGGAGGGGCGCCATGATGTGAGAGACGCAGTTTCGTCTGCGAAGCTCTGTCTGACACACTAAAGGGGAGCCTGTGTACCCAGAGAGCCCAATACCCCTTAATTAGGGAATAGAGCTTACAGTATAATAAGGATCCTTATTATGATTTAAGGAGTATTCCTTAATTGAGGGGTATTGGGCTCTTTGGGTACAAGACCTACGGAATACCAAGCTGCTGGACCGGACCGGCCCTAGGCAGCACCTACTCCTGAGATTCTACCAGCGCCGACCATGGATGCATCGTGACATAACAAGTTCGGCCCCCCCACCCCCACCCCCTACCCCTACATGTCTCGGCTGAGTCAGCTTCCGGAAAGGAGAACACGTCAGAAGGTGCTGGAGTCGAGTTCAGCAAGGTGCAGCGCAAAAATGCATGAAAGTGTACATCGCTCAGTGACTGTGAGAGGACGCCTTGGAGAGCATGTCCTGCAAGCGCCCTCCCCCCAGTGCTCTGTTAAATCGTGTGTCCAACTTTGCCTCGTTGTGAGTTTTCCCCAAGTCTCTACCACACAATCCCGACGTTGCAAGCAACCTGTAGACTGTAGACCATAGACCCTGCACCCCAAAACCTTCTTCAGCCCAGCGTGCCCGGCGAGGATGCGAAGTCCGTAGGGAAGCGCACAGAGGGCGAAGGAAAGCGCCGAGAGGAACCAAGTCGGGGCATTCCATACCTCAGGGCACATAGTGACTCTTATGTCAGCACCGTCCTTCGTGCTCTCCGTGGATCTCCATGCACAATCTGCAAACTCTGTTCTGAAACCGGCTTGACTCCATCGGCACCTCTGCAGATGTTGGGAACCAAGCCTCCCGGGGGGAGGGGGGGCGAATAAAAAACAAGAGGCTCTTGTCAGCTACTTATGGGGTGGACCATACAAGGCCATAGGATTTCTCTTCAATCTGCCCAGGCAGCAAGGACACATCCCATCCTATTCCTAGCTACCGTTGATGGAACAAATGCTTCCTCACCTTTTGCAGCAAGGATTACATTATCCGACTCCAATAAGAACTAAATAAATGGCGTTAAAAAAAAGAAAATCTCTAGCATGTTTAAACGATCCTTCTTCATGAGTTCCTTTACCCACTACGACGTGAGATAGCCCTCTAGATTCATTGGAAATGTTAGGAACCCTTTGAGAAGCATTGCCCCCAACATCCCTTTCTGAAGTGAAAGGGGTTGCCGCGATCAATTTGAAAGTTGCCCGCCCAATACAAACAAGGCGTCGCCCTGTCTACGAACATTGACACGCCACGGTGGCCCGCAAACGAGCATTTGCTGGGTCAACACCTGCAACTATCCCGATCTATCCCAGGTCACAAGTTCAAAGAGCACTTAGAACTCGAACTCTGTCCCTTGAAAACCTGAAACCCTAAACCCTAAACCCTAAACCCCAAACCCTAAACCCATTGTTGGGTGTTTGATTAATCCCTGTCGGCTTCGGGGTTGGGCTAGCAGCCAGCCTCCAAGTTCTAAAGCCCGACACCCCCACCGCCCGAGCCCAATCTTCCTAAACCCTAAACCCTAAACCCTAAACCCTAAACCCTAAACCCTAAACCCTAAGCCCTAAGCCCTAACCCCTAAACCCTAAACCCTAAACCCTAAACCCAAAACCCTAAACCCTAAACCCGAAGCGAAGCTGGCCTGGAGCATGAAGATGGAGATAAACCCATTCCAAGCTGCTGTTGCCACCCCACCTTGGCCAGCTTGTGAAAACTTTCAGGAGGTAATTGGCAACTTAGATTTTTGGGTTTAGAGTTTTGGGTTTAGGGTTTAGGGCTTAGGGTCTAGGGAAGCAACAACCACTGTTTGCCATGCTGGGCACATGATCGGCCGGCGGCTTCGATTCTTCGGAACCACGCAAAGCATCCAAGCCGAAAAACCCCACATATTCAACATGCAATCACCAAGCCACTATAGGAGAGGTCCACAAAGAGAAACCTGATAGGTTTCGAGGTATGGTTGGGGGTTAGGCTTGTTGCCGTTGGTTCGATTGCTTACTCGCATGTTTGTCTGATTCGGGAAAATCTCGCCGAGTATCCCTGGAGTCAGGCCACAGAAGGGGGACAAAGGACATGAAGGGGAGACAAGCGGAGGAGTCCAGGGAACTCGGCCAGAGCATCCGGCAAGGTCGGAAGTCTTTGAAAAAGAAGCAAGAACCCCTACAGCAAACTGTGTGGGGAAACATCAACAGGAGGATCCAGCGAAGAAATCGAACAACACAATCGTGTTTTCGAGCGGGAAAACGAAGGCTGCTAAGCTTCGGGTGCTGAACTGTCGGATAGTTCTTCGGAGTATACTGCTAAGGGTTCACCAGCAAGTTTGAAGGTTCAAGAAACAACAACCACTTGCTGCCAAGGATCACTGGCGAGAATAGCAGAAGCACCATGAGGTGCAATGGCCAGTGTCCCATGATGCGGGTGATCACGAACTCTACCCTGAGTCGAGCTTGCAGCTTTGGGGAATGGACCTTCAAAGCTGTCCCAGGCATTGAACTTCTTGACCCACAAACCCCAAACATCGTGAGGGAGCTGGAACTGACACCCTGCCAAGCAGTTGAAGGGGAGCTGATGGCTCTATGTTCGAGGCTCCATCAGCATTGGTCAATGGATTGCACCCTGCAAGAAGCAAAGCATTGGGTTCTGCAAGTAGGCTGAGGTCTCGACTCCGGGGGGCGAATGGGAAGCACAGGAAGTGCAGGGCTTCGGGTCGACTTGACAGCCCGCAAGAAAGGTCAGGTGGCCAAAAGCAGCCAATGGCAGCGAATCGGTGCAAAGGAAGAACTCAAAGCAGCCTTCAAAGCCTCCTGAAAACTATGGGATGGAACCGCACAGCCACCGTGCTTCCCTAACATTGCTCAAGCGGATCCGAGTTCGAGAAGATGCAGGGCCGAGCCGCGCGTTGTCCAAGCGCTTGGAACCCTTTCGCCTAAGGGGGGCCGGAAAAGTTCTCGAGTTTTTCCAGGATCAAAATGTGCGAGTGAAGGATCCAGCATAGTGCCAGAAGTGGGTTGAGGACTTGTAGCCTAATCCCCCGCACCTGTGCAAACACCGAATCCTCAATTTCACACAAGCCTTACTACAGTGACTCGGCTCGCGTTTCTCTCGGTAAGTAGGGGCCTGCGAATCAGGTGATGAAGCTCTGCTCGTCTCTGCCCTCGCCCCCAACACTTCATTGAAGCAAGCTACAATGGGCAAGTTCCCCTAGGAGAATCTGCGATGGTCTGGGTTTTCGTGTACGGTTTCAGGGCAGTGCTCAGAGGGGTTTGGGCATGCCCCGGCTTAGTTTCAGCCCAAGAGCTCTGTGTTGCCGGTGGTCTTTGCCTTAAGCTGGACATATGCGGCATAAGACTAGAAAGCCCTAGAAGCTCAAAAATCCCAGTGCAAGTCTGAGTATCCGCGGCAGCAGTCAACAAGCATTGTACAAAACAACAGAACTTTGAATCGTGCACAGTCCTAAATTCCTAAACCAACCCGTCAGCTAGGGGCTTGCCGCGGCTGTGATGTTTAACTTACATATGGGGTAGCGTGCCAGTTGAAAGCTTGGTTCTCACATCTTGGGATAAGTAACTGTCCCAGCTCCGTCGTCGTGTAGGCAGCCACATACCCAGAGATCACGAAGAAGGCGCCGACGACTACGTTGATCTGGCTCAGGGTTCATGATTGAGGTGCATGGGCCACTCCTACTCCAAGAAACTGCACTGGAGTGATCAACCTTTGGTAGCCCCGTCATCCGGCTGGACATGCTCAAATGCACTACCTTCAAATCAAAGCACATGTACACCATACTTCGTTGACACGAATGTGTGCTTTTGCCCAGAAGATGTGCTCCCAAAATCAGACATTCGCCCCGGCCGTTCGACTTTGAGTTTGAGTGCAACCCTCATCTGCTACTGAGAGCCATGTTGAAAAGAACCAGCACTGAGAAACAAGCATGCCTGCGAGATGAACCTCAGCAAGAAGGGATTCTGCGTGGCCGTGTGGATAAAGTGGCCGGAGGCGATGTACGCAATCAGAATAAACCTGCCCGAAAAAAAAGCTCAGCGGGTGAGGGCTGGGGTTCAGCTGTCCAACTCGCGGTGTAGTGGAAGCGGTTCTGTGCGCACACTGACCCTATAGAAAAACAACACAAGAGAAGCCCTCAAGATTCAGAACAGAGGCAGCAAGGACCCGAAACCTGAGGCTGTCCAGTGCTCCAATGCGTGGCTTCTTCGCCGGTGCCGAGGCATCCTCCAGAAACAAGAGTTCGGTTGCAGGCGACTGCGAGCTCTAGAACAAATACACTAGATGCCTGTGTGAACCCCCCAAGTGCTCGCTCAAGACCTCAAGCACACCTTACCCGAGCAGCACTATTCAGTTGAGACCACTCCCAGGTGCCCCCAGACAAAAACAAAAAAATCCCAAGAGACGACAACTGACCAGCTTTGACCCACCATTTGACCACCCATTGGCCCATTGACCATCAAGTCACCACCATCGACCACCAATATTGACCAAACAAGACCAAAGAAGACCAAACAGACCACATCTAACCACAGTGGCCAAAAGCGTGGGGGACGAACTCTTGTGATATGTTTTGGGAAAAGGCGAGAACATGCCCGCGGGAACACCCAGAAGGTTGTGGACTTCGAGGTTCCGTGAAGACCTTCGTGCGCGCCACTGCGGGCCGGCCCTCCAGTCCCAGGGTAAGCACTCCAAAGTGCAAGCGCTGTTGGGGGGGGAATTAGCGCCCCAAACGCAACCAAGGAAATCTGCAGCATTCAGTCTTCCAGGGCAGAGGTACTGGCAGGGCGTGCGGAGGCTGAGGGGATTCCCAGGAGTCAAGGATGATGTCATGTGCAAAGAGACTCAGGTTCGACACCAGGAGTCTTCAACTTGGGTCAGCGGCCAATGCTGCCCAAAACCGAACATGCTTGAAACGGAGGCGATGTAAAGTCACAACAGAAGCGACTGTCCTCCACTTCCTTCGCCTCACGAGCCCGTGCCACCTGCGCACGGTGAGGATTCCAACTTCATCTGTCCAAGGGTTCAGTGTTCGGGTGTCGGGTATGTGACGACATGCCAACCTCATCCCAACGCGAGACTTCCTGGCAGGACCTCAGGCAAGCTCTGTGCTTTCAGGGTACCTGTGCATCATGCCAACAGAGGATGTAGTAGGCGCACATGATCGCCTGTGGCCGCTGGGGGGAGAAAGCCACACAGCAGCATGCCTCTGGGTGTGTGGGGTGCTTTCGGGCTTCCAGGATCGAAACAACCGCCCTACCAGGCAAAGGTCTCGAGCTTAGCCCGGAATCTTAAACCCTGATCCCTGAACCCCGGACCTGGACCCGGACCTGGACCCTCCAAAACCTTGTCCCCCAAAAAACCAGAATGCCATACAACTCATGTAATTCCATCTAAACTAAACTATCTGAACCCAACACTTGGCAGAGTGGCACACAGGACCAGGGCGCCCATGTTCACGGTCGCGCCGCTTGGGCCTCTGCCAGTATGGTCCGTATGCCCCCCCCCTTTCTTGGCCACTTGGGACTGGGGACAAAGTTCAAGGCATTTCAGGGAGTGTCTGAGAATTTCTGGGTTCGGTGCACTGCTCCGGCTTCAGGGATCAAACGGTCGGCGGCACCTGAAACATGAGAGAATCGAGCTGAAGCAGCCCCAAGCAACACCAAATCAACAAGCCCCGAACCCCGCATCCTTTAGACCGTTCGTCTGTTTTACATCGCTGTCGAATGTTCGAGGCTCTCAGGGACCTCGAACTGACGCCGGCCCCACGGAGACATTGGCGAGCGCGCCGCTCGCGAACACCGCAACCGCCTTGAGCTTGAGGGTGCACTGCTAAGGCGTGTTACAAGAGCTGAGTCTAAGTGCTGTCTAAACCGTCTAGAGCTTGGGAAAGTTTCGGTTTGGGCTCTTGGGGGACGTTAGCCATTTAGCTCACTATAGTCATTAGCGTCTGGTGGTAAAGCAGGTTTAGGACGTTGGCAAAAACATACGCTGCAGAATAACTGTCGACTTTCGCTTGGCAAGGGCACTGAGCAGGGAAGGACCCAAATCCGGAGATGGCCGTAGGCTTGGGACGCACCCCAGAACATTCAAGAGCACAAAACATGGGTGTGCGACCCAGCTGATGAAGACGACATCCCCCATTCCCTCAATGCTGCGAGCGATATCTGGCCTACTTGTATCACACCAAAGAATCCAACGCTGACTCGGATTTGACCTTTGGACTTGGACTGAAGTGCTTGAATGGCCGCTATTCCATGTGTTTTGAAAACCAATGCCAAAGTCTGCCGAGTTGCACTGAGGGCAAACACAATTCCCAATGCCGCGCGCTTCCTGCGATGCAAGTTGTGGGAAAAATCCCTAAGTCTACAGCCTGGAAACCCTAAACCCTAAAACCCAAAACCTGTGAAGCCTGGCCAAGCGTCTGGCCACTCCCCCCCTCCCAGCTATAGTGGAGAGGGGGGTCAGCGGGGGCGGTTGGAAATAGGTATGGCTTTTAAGGGGGTTGAGGTCAAATTGAAACGAATTTGGTAGGGTTTAGGTCCCATGAATTCCCCTCCCAACCTAACCTAGACAGACCTAAACCCTCCACTGTTAACCCCACAAGCCACGCAGAGGGTAGAGGCGGAACACTGAACTTTAAACCCCAATCCCGACACCCACCATGATCGACAAAGGCGGGGGAGAGGGGAACCCTTAAACCCAAACCCTCAACCTGAACCCGAAACCCAAACCCTCAACCCTAAACCCATGAACCACGGATGTATCCAGGTCAAGGTTTCAAGGTTTGGGGCGGGCTTGGGATTGAGGTGAAAGTGGAAACGGGGTAAAAAGGAAGCGTAACGAAAATTTTGGCAGCCAGTTCGGGCTCGGATGGTTTTTGCATGTGGCGAGGGGTATCAAAGAAACTAAGTTCTTACTAATTCTCAAAACCACGACGGGGATGTAGCTGAAAACCAGACACTTGGCCATGCCGGGATACATCCCTTGCCTTCGGGGCAGCCGTGCCATGGCCAAATTCATCCGTACAGCACCAAAAGCTTGCTTAACTGGCAGCATACGCTTGCTCAAGCAAAGAGTGACCCACAACTGCTATCCTCGGCCCTCAATCAACTCAGCGCTTGGACCGTCGGGATCTTTCTAGTCTCCAACATGCCACAACCTATCACAACTTCACAACTGACAACCGACCCAACCGCATTATGTCATGACACCATCTTCAACAATATGGAGCCTAAACCATGATGCCACACATATTCAATTCGGGCAAGGTCAAGCCTTCAGCACGTGCGAATATGTACCTGAACACTGGCTTGCAGGTCCCTAACGTGAAGACCTGTATGCGGCCGGAACCACGCAGCAACAAGACTGTACTCGTTGGGTTTCAACATACAGTTCTTGGGTCTAAAGCCTATATACGTAACCTCTATATTGATAGTTCCTTTACGCTTACTTCGGAAAACCCATACTTCCTATTTCAAAGGACGCGTAGGTGTTTTAGATCCTCTTCAAAAACATTATAAAGCAAGGTTTCTCGGAAGGTGGGGTTGGGGGTTAGGGAGGGGTGGGCTTCGCGTCCGTCATTTCCAACACAATGCTCGCAAGACGACAAGAATTCGTATGTTTTTTGACGCAAATGAAATTATCCTCTCACGGCATTGATCGTCTTTGTAAACTTGTCACGGCTTCAAGAAAAACAGGAATTGAAAAAGTTGGGCCCCCCCGCCCCACCCGCTTTGAAAAGCTGCCTGTTTACGTGTCTTGAAGTCTTTCCTGCTTTACTCGTTCTTCTGCTTTTCTTTTTTATTCCATCCTGCCTGTTTTGCAAAACCTCTGCACATTCTGTAAAGTGTGGAACCGTTGGCTTCTTTGCAAAGAAGAGGGCTTATTTCTGTAGAACTTCTTTGTACAGGGGAAATCCTTGTATGTACGAAAATGTCCAAGCAACACTGACGAATTCTTGAGCGTTGCACTTAAGGTTCAATGGCCATCCGGATCGTGGGTTGGAAGAATGGAGCCCAAAAATGGAACTTTTTTTGGAGCTCTTCTAAAAATCAGGTCCTCAAACAAGTCCCTTTTTTTGGCTTCACTTTTGGGGCGCACAAGCAAGCAAACACAGGTAAACACACAAATGAATTCATGCTGGTCCAAGGAAGCCTTTACTAACCCAAACACCAAACGACCAACTGCTCTTACGCCGGAGCGACCAACAGAAAGATTCCCGAAGAAAAGCGCCTAGTAGCTTACACTGGCTTGTGGCGCCCGTGGTGTCATACACATTTTGTGGGACAGCACATTTTGGAGCAAAGGAGATCTTTGTCAGATTTTGAGAAGCCAAAATTGCACTCCGACAAAATGGACTCCTAGGCCCCGCAATTTGAGCTTACGATGTTTCTTTTTTTGAGGTCTTGATGTTTCTTGGTCTCAGCAGACTTGACATTGCTGCGCCTTGATACTACCCTAACCTAATAACTAGACTCTTCCTTTGGTACCATGGGATATTTGCTCAAAGCGGTGCAAGCAAGATGATCCCGAACATGCACACCGAAGGGCATAGTGCCACGTTCTTTGGTTTTCAGTGTGGTACCCCGGATCAGTTAGCTGCAAGATTGAAGCAACAATTGTCTTCTCGAAGCTAAAATGCTTTGGATGCTCTGTGTCTTGCATCCCATCTGCAAAGCTCTTCCAAGAGCGTCAAGTTCTGCCTTCGCTGGCAAAACGCTGTAAGCGTCGAACGCTGGCCACCATGCGATCAAATGCTTTCTCTGGGTTGTGGCATCAAGCTTGCAGTTGGCTTCCACACACGCAGCAAATCAAGCCTTGTACGCAAGCTAAGCCATAAAAGGGGTCCAACCTGACTCTGTGCCTTGTCAAGTTGTTTCGCATGCTGGGTATTCTTGATCTGCATCTCCATCTGTCTCTTGTGCAAAGTGGGTAGGCTTTTTCAGCCATGTAGCGTATGCCACCAACGAGATTTCAGCTCTGGGTAAGAAACAATGCTCCGTCTTGTGGCCGGCGAATTTTGGAGCACCAAAACGTGGCTTTCTGCACCACTGGAACATTGACATCCAAATCGTTTTAACAGCTTTAAGGCCGATTCTCTTCTTGACAAGAATAGCCTGAAGTTTCGTGTCAGATGCCTTTCATTGAAGGGCAATGCGCCTGTGCGGCCTACAAGTTCCAGCGCGGAAGGTGCTCGTAAAGTGGTCAGAATCCACTTACATAAGAGCCAAGAAATTTTTGCAACATCTACAAGCAAAATGGAGAAGGGGCTTGAGAAGAAGCTGACAACCATGTTTCACCAAGGAAGCTTTGCAGAAGGTAAAGGCCAAGGACTTAAGAAAGACTTTGGGGCTTAGCCCAATGATTCGTTGCCAAGACATGCCTTCGAAGCTGGTGATAAAGGCAAAACCGGATGGAATCTCTGGTTCAGATGGCAAGAGACCACCTGTGAATGGATGATACCAAAACTTTTCAGACGAAAGTGCACATGGGTAAACTTTGACTGTAATGTTCGACGTGGAGACACAAGATTCAAGTCCAACATTCCACCGGCTCAGTTTGGTGGACAGAATCCTTCTGGAGATGCGCATTTATGGACATCGTGACAGCTTTTTTTGAACGCAGATCTTGATGACTCTGAGGTAATCCTGTTTCGTCCTCCACCCATCGTGAAAAAGATCATGAGATGGATGATGAAACTTTTGGTTGTGAGAACGGTCTACGAGCAGCTTCCAAGGCCTGGGAAAAAACCAGAGATGCAAAGTTGGACAATGCTAAACAAACAATGAGACTTGCTTTGATCGTCAGTGTTTTTGCACTTTCCTGTTCTGCAACTGGGGAATGTCCAGATACAAGCAGTACGTGAGGCTTGTTGGCAAGAGATCGGGTTTGTTCTTGTTTTTTCTAAAGATGTGCACATGCAGCACACAGCATTTAGTCCATCCTTATGCGTCAAGTGCATGGAAGCTTAAAGCACACTGCGTACTTTGCCATTGGGCCACGTCTTTGTCTGCGGTGTGTTTGCGGTTATCTCTACGTCTCTGCCCAATTTGAGCAAGGCTTCCACGAAGCAAAGCAATTCGCAAGAAGAAAGAGTGCAAATCAGAACTGGACAAATTACAGAAGCTCTGGAGCGACAGCTTTACGGTTTAGGATGCACACAAACACTGCAAAATATGTTTGAGGCGACTTAACCAGTGTTTGGTCACAACAGCAGGAAGCTTAGAACAACGACGTTTTCAAGCAGTACTGATCAGATGGAACAACGCAGAACAGAGCAGGCGGAGTAACAGATTTGTTTTGTTTTTCTTTCATAACGCAACGTTGTAAAACAACCAGAGCAGAAGTTTCCACAACAGGAATCTCAGACTTTGACTACGTTGTGTTGTGTACTTTATCTTCAAGATAAGAGAAGGGATTGATTCCAAATTCCACCTCCCTCATCTTGTTTTGTTTTTTGGATTTTGTTCTTCGAAACTAGAGAAAGACTCTAACTTCCCTTTGAAAAGAGAGAGAAAGGCATTTATTCTAAATTTCACCCCTCTGGAATCTTGTTATATTGTTCTATTTTTTTGGAATTTCATTATTCGAAACCAGAGAAGTAAGACTCTAAAACATAAATTTCCCTTTACAAAGCGAAAGAAGAAATGTGTTCTAAATTCCACCCGCCTCGAATCTCGTCATACATTTTGTTTGTTTTTGGATTTCATTCTTCGAAACCAGAAGTGAGACCTTACCGCCGCTTTCTGTCCGAATTGTGAATAAACTTCGCATTGTGACTGTGTGTCAAATCAGAACGCTGCAATGAAACGACCAACCACAATGCAAAGTGCACCTGTCAAAAAACACTTGACCGCTAAAACATGGCTCTCCGACTTGGCGACATTCAAACAAACCTCAAGGCCTCAAGGGTGGTAAGTACTTGCCTGCCGAGCCGCCCGTCTGCTGGAACACCACGCAGTGACGCGAAGCTTATAGATCTGCCTCTGACGCAGTTCCAGCTGACGGTTGCAGTGGTCGAATGAGCAAGCTCGGAGGATTAAACATATTGCTGTTGGTTTTTTTGTGTGTTCATGGCTTGAATTTCAGTGTTTTTCTTGTTTTTGAAGATGGCACGAACTGCTGCAATGCAGCAAGATGGT